CCCCAAAACCCCAAAACCCCAAAACCCCAAAACCCCATCGTTTAAATATATGGTATTAAATGCAATTTCAGTAATATAAATCATTTAATATACAATACAAAAATTTTAATTATAATCATTTCAAATTAAACATATTTTAGTATTTATTAAATTAGCAAGTTAATAATAATGCACTACATTAACTAGCAGTTTTTTACTGTATATCGCATTCCTATGACGCTAGCAACTGGAAGGACCGAATCGGGTAGCTGATTGACTTGAAACTCCTACCTGGTATAGGGGGTAAAAGCGGGCATCAGGCTTGCACTATGACTAGTTTGGAACTGCGTAATATATAATTTCATAACCAGCATTAGCTCTAATGGAAATTGAACTTTGAAAGGTTCAAGCTATATCAAACGGGTAGCTTTTTTAATAAATAAGTTAGGAACATAAGAATATCAAGGAACAGATTCTGCATGGTGTAGGGGTAAGATCGAGGAGATAGGATTGAAAGTTGAAGATGGATTCTCTAGTAAAAAAATTAGATGTAGAGTAGTGATTTCTTATCTCCGAACCATCGAGTACAATAGCGTGAAGTCAAAGAGTAAGGCTTCTCTGAGCTGCATGAACTTTCATGGCTCCTTGATTAACTAACCACTTAATAACAACAAAACTAGATAAAATGGAATAATTAATTCAGCTAGTCCTCAACTAAATGGCAAACATTAATAGTTAAGGTTGAAAGTTATTAAGAATAGATAAATTTTAATAGAGAAAGATCAAAAAATTGAGCATCCACCTCCTGTCTCAACCACAACTGGTGGTCTGTTGACTAGCTCTATCATTTTACCTGTTAGAGTTGAAAGTTACTGATTCATTTATGCTATTTGTTCTCGAGATGCCTAGTTAGAATCTTTCAGAAGTTCAATCATCATCATGAATTCTTCACCGTTTTTAGTACCAAGTTATTGATCTTATCTTTTAAAATCTCCTTCAAGTTCTTGAGATATTTCTATTACTTTTTTCTCTAAATCAGGGACAAATTACATATTCCCGTTTTCCATTTTTTCAAGCATTGGAAGCAGTGACTCAGCTGTATTGTTGAACTTCACAACATTTTCCAGAGGTATATCAAGAGGTCCATATTATTTAAACATCTCTAGTTTCTCTAATATAAACTCATCGGTAGGGGACTCAATATCACAATGAGTTATTATTAGAAAAACATGCTTTGGTGAAAAGTTTGAAAAAAACTTTACTGTTGCCTTTATAGCCATTGTCTCTTGAACGCTAATTCTGTAGTCGGTTGACTTAATCACTATCAAAGCACCATCAAAGGCCTAACTGTGACCGATTTTTAACTTAATGTCAAGTACAATTTGGTCAAGACATAAACTAAAGTCTCCAACACCTGGTCCATCGTAGAGCTTTAAATTTATAGAAGGATGGTTGCCAAATGCTTAGCATTCAATAAAGTCTATCTTTTGAGTACAACCACTTCTAGCTGTCTTACTAGAAAGGAATTTTCCTGGAATACAATTTACTCAAATATTAATTCATTTTAGATAGGAACTTAACTTTATATTTAGCCAGTTTATAAATTTAAAACCTTGACAAAACTAAATAAAATGGAATAATTAATTCTAATAGTCCTTAACTAAATGGCAAACATATATAGTTAAGAGTGAGAGTTATTAAGTAAGAGAAATTTTAATAGAGAAAGAAATCAAAAAATTGAGCATCCACCTCCTGACTCAACTACAACTGGTGGTCTGTTGGCTAGCTCTATCATTTTACCGGTTAGAGTTGCAAGTTGCTGATTCATTTAGGCTATTTATTCTCGAGATGCCTTGCTAGTGTCTTTCAGAAGTTCAATCATCATCATAAATTCTTCACTATTTTTTGTACCAAGTGTTTTATCTTATTTTTTAAAATCTCCTTCAATTTCTTGAGATATTTCAATTACTTTTTTCTCTAAATCAGGGACAAATTGCATATTCCCGTTTTCCATTTTTTCAAGCATTGGAAGCAGTGACTCAGCAGTATTGTTGAACTTCACAACATTTTCCAGAGGTATTTCAAGAGGTCCATATTATTTAAACATCTCTAGTTTCTCTTATATAAAGTCATCTGTTGGGGACTCAATATCGCAATGAGTTATTATAAGAAAAACATGCTTTGGTGAAAAGTTAGAAAAAAACTTTACTGTTGCCTTTATTGCCATGGTCTCTTGAACGCTAATTCTGTAGTCGGTTGACTTTATCACTATCAAAGCGCCATCGAAGGTCTAACTGTGACCGATTTTTAACTTAATGTCAAGTACTATTTGGTCAAGACATATCTTAAAGTCTCCAACACCTGGTCCATCGTAGAGCTTTAAATTTATAGAAGGATGGCTTCCAAATGCTTAGCATTCAATAAAGTCTATATTTTGAGTACAACCACTTCTAGCTGTCTTACTAGAGAGGAATTTGCCTTGAATACCACACAATAAGTTAAGAATACAACTTTTTCCTGAGCCGGGAGCACCAAACGGAATCAAAGTGAGATATTTTACGGGTCTGCTTTACATATTATTAAATTAATTATTAAAAAAATGATCAATTATAATTTTAACTAAAAAATTGGTCAAAATATAGTACAGTCTGGACTGTTACTACGATAAATAATTTAAGGTCGATAATTCTGAATTTATTACTAGACTTAAGAAATTTTGATTTAGGTGGCAGCTGCCTCTTTTTTTAATTTCTCTTCTTCCTCATGATATTTGTTTAACTCATTTTGGAGCGCTGCAGCTTCTGCAATATTTCTTTAAGTCACTTTTCTCACCAAACTTGGCAACTCTTATTTAATTTATGCAGCAACCTAGCTAATATTATTTACAAGTCTCATTTACCCTGAACTTTAAGCATCAATATCAAATAAAGGCAAAAGATGCTCTTTTTTATTTCCAAACTTAATCACATTTTGTATTGGAATTTTTAAACCGCTATATTCTTCAAACATATCTAATTTTTCATTAATGTTCTATAATTTCGGAATCTCAATGTCACAATGCGTAAAAATTACAAATATTTTTTTAGGCTAAAGCCCAGTAAGAAATTTCGACATTGCTTTCAAAGCCATTATTTCTTGGATCGATACTCGATAATCAGTTGATTTAGTTATAATTAGGGCTACATCAAAAGTGTTTGTATATTTAAGATGCGTAGAAATTTGCTATTACAGAGTTAGCAAATTGATTTTAGGATCACCTATTCCTGGAAGATCTATTACTCTTATATTTCTTCTATGTCACATGCCCAGCGCAGTACCTTCTGCAATTTATATTGTTTAAGTAACTCCTGACTGAGCACTTTTAGAAGATTTAAAATGATTGCTTGCATATCCGTGAATCATATAGTTAAGAACATTAGATTTTCCGGCTCCTGGGCCACCGAATCCGATAGTCGTATGGAATTGCGAATACTAATTACTAAGTTTTTCCATTTAAATTATTTAATTATTATTTGAATTTTAATAGGGAAAAATTTGTATCTAAGCATTATTATCTTTGAATAATAAATTTATCCTGATAATTTTATCATGTAATTATGATAAATATAGTATGATGGGGTTTTGGGGTTTTGGGGAGATCGGAAGAGCGTCGTGTAGGG